ATTACAATGTCATTACAATACCATTGTTGCCATTCCATTCTAATAAGAAAATATAACCACTGTTACCATTACAAACAATGTCAATCTACAAATAACCCAAACAATATCATCAACTAACAATAAATAACATGAACAATCATAAAGCATGTCCACGAATCAGCTGTTTGCCTGACGCCTAGGCCTACGACTGATATTGCAATGCTCGAAGATTGGAAAGCGACCTCCAGCAGAAATAGGTCCAGCAGAACTAGGTCAGCTTCGTCAATGTGCTGACCTTCAAGAACATGGTGTCATACCTCTCGATAGCCTGGTAAAGTCGGATAAGGATGGCGAATCCCCTCCTGATAACCAGCTCAATATAAGGATGTGAAAATCTGCAGTGCATGTGCAATACGCTGCATTTGGAAATAGAATATCACAATTTTAGGGACATATCAAAAAAAAAAGAGTAAGTTATATATGCATCAGAGAGGATAATAGATTACATCTGCATGTATCGCCTGAAAACCTGAATGGTCAATGGACACGTAGTTCATCAGTGTTGCTCGACATACTAGGTGCGCTGATATTCTGTATATAGCAATCATGTAACGCCGCGTACACATTGCCAAGGCTGACGAACTGGTTCTCCTCCATTGCGCAGACAACACGTGGTTATTCCCAAGCTCTCCACATCGCTTATCAAAGTATTTGTACAATGACGAATATCGTGTAGAAATATGTATGCGCTCGTGCACCAACGGAATGGGAGCTAGCGGATGCAGTCTGGATCGGTCTATAAGCCTGCCAAACTGCCTCAAAAACTCTATCTGTGAATAATAGGGTTCGACACGTCTAAGCAACTTTAGCATCACATTGGTAGAAACGTACCGGGTTACAATGGAATGCCGGCCTCATGCGCAGCTGTGGTATGACGATCCCAAAATATTACCCTGTAACTAGAAAAGTGCTTTTTGCATTAAAAGTCACATTAAAGTGGTAAGATAAATGGAAGTTTTCCAAGAACTTATCGCAGATGATGAGTAAACACTTACATCAGTAGCTCTAAACTGTACAAGCTCGCCATCGGAAAGATTTCAAATGGTCAATGCAGGAACACCGCCTCTCTCTTGAGATGCCAATGTACATCATGTGGTCATGTCTTCATAGTAGCCCATGTTCTGATGAGGTGGGAATGCTCGAAGTGCTCATAAATCCACGCCTCCAAAAGAGTCTATAACCACCATCTGCTTAACACCCAGACCGGCTGAGCACAACCCCAACTGTACCGACTATAAACAATGCTAATGCAGCAGCACCCAGGCATAAGTATGTATGGATCACCAAATCCATTAACAAGCCGAGGTAAACAACGGAACCGCTGCACCGCCACGTCTTGTCACTGAAGATGTACATCCGCAGACAGAAACAAAAATAAGCTACTTAGCGCAGCGCACGTATAGCCTCCTCGGGGTCTGAATTTGTGACACCAGCAAACTGACTTACGCAAACCACTCAAGCCTGACTGAATTAGGCCACCAAGCAGAATAAAAAAGAAACCTCTCATATGTGCTGCGCGTTCCAGTAAATCCCCAAGCCTAAACGAGTATATGTAACTCCATGAATGATCTGTCAACATCTGGTAAGCTGACTGAATTTGCCTACAATGGGAAGGCCAAGAATAGTGCCAACATCATCTAGGGTCAAGGCAATCTCACCATACTGTCCATGTGAAATGTGTTTCGTCTCAGGTTGCCATCTCTACAACAAAACATAGACTAGAAGCTTGTTGACGAACGATAAAAGGCAACGAGCAACTGTGACAGTCCAAGACTGACTCCATAATGGCTTTGAATCTGGTGTTGTTCTCTACTAACCCCATGGCCAAATGGCAAGGATCTTGAAGTGGAGTTGATTAATGAACTTTAGGGGCCCTCGTTCCTTACAACACAAATGATATCTCATTAACAAACTACATACAAAAAAAAAAAAAAAACCATTAACAAAATGAATATTCAGTATTTTACTGAGAGAATGTTTACCTCGCCGTGGCTCAAATAGCTGCACAGCCACAATGACTATTGAAATATCCGCCAGTATTGACGGATCAATTCGGTCCCCCGTGGAAAAACATGAGATAAAGGTCACCTTTCCTAGGACAGGAGGAGAATCAGGTTAAAGAGGATATCCTCCACAGGCAATGTCAGGCATATCATAACCTTTCAACTCGTCTTGCTTCGCCCCACTTTGACTAGGCACTGGGAAATAATCATATTTTACCCGAAACTGGATCACGAACCTCGACCACGCTTGACCTCGTCCTCGCCCACGCCCTCGTCCCGTTGATGGTCTCATCCAATTCGCGCGTCGTAATTTGAAGGCAAGTAGTGGGAACACGTTGTTGATATTCAGGAATCCATATATCTGCAAAAAATACTAAGTGTGTGTAATACGTATGTGTGTAAATAAACATAGTGTGCTGTAAATAATTAATGAGAGTGTTTTAAATTATAGTGTTGTGTGTAATGAGTGTGTGTGCAAAATTAATGAGAGTGTGTGTGTAAATAATAAGTGTTTTAAATTTAATGAGAGTGATGTTGTTAAATTAATAAGAGTGATGTGTAGTGGAGTGTTATAATTAAGTGTTATAATTAAGTCGTTTAATTAAGTGTTAGAAGGGAAAAAAAAAAAAAAAATTGTGTTCGGAAGTTGTCTGTCCAGAAAACACTCTACTCTGTCGGAAGTTCGCATTGTCCGAGAATATACCTGTTCTTTCGAAAGTTGTTGTTCCGAAATTATAGCTCATATTTCGGAAGTTGAAAACCGAATAAAAAAAAATATTTTCGCACTTGGAAACCGAACCAAGGTAAATTATTCTCGGAACATAGGTGGCCGAAATAGAAGCAGAAATTTCGGAACTCTAAATGCGAAACAAAACAAAATTTTCGATAACCAGTTAAACCCGAATGAAACACGGCAATAACAATGGGACTTGATCTCTCGTCTTGCTCAACCTTAAGAAACGGGTGAGGATTGCCCATTGGGTTTGTCCAAACGGAAATCCATTTTCGGGGGCAGGTTAAATAACAGAAACTTATCATTTGGCGTTTTGCATGTACATAGAAGTTATGAGGTTATGATCCCCACTAAGTCAATTGAAATATTTGGTGCAGGTTTTTTTGGGCAGGCCGAGGGCCATCCAGTTTCCTCTATTTGCCCACTAATTGGAGAAAATACCGTCACCCGTTTCGCGCTGTGGAATGGAAATGAATGCATAATGTGCCGTCGCATTCAACATTTCAAGGACATTATTCATGATAATGTAGCTACTCGGATAACTTTTGACTTGTTGTTTTGAATGTCACATGAACAATGGTATGCATTTGACAATGTTTACAATTATGGAAGAAATTAATGGATGTGTTTTTTTATGTTGATGTGTTATGTTTTTGCAATGTGGATTGAATGTTATCGACATTGTTACAGATTCCATTGTAAATAAGAAAATATCATTTACAAATCAACAACCATTGTTACACATTCCATTTAATATAGAATGTCATTACAATGTCATTAAAATACCATTGTTTGCCATTCCATTTCTAATAAGAAATATTAACCCACTGTTACCATTTACAACAATGTAGATCTTACAAAAACACCAAACAAATATTCATAACCTACAAAATATACATGTAAGCACATAACATGTCAGAATCGGCTGTATGGCTACGCCTAGGCCTACGACTGTATGTCAATGTCGAAGATGGAAAGCGACCCTCCAGCAGACACATAGGTACAGCAGAACTAGGTGCAGCTTCGTCAATGTGCCTTGACCTCAAGAACATGTGTCATACTCTCGATTAGCGCTGGTAAAGTCGATAAGGATGGCGAATCCGCCTCTGATAACCAGCGGTCAATATAGGATGTGAAATCTGCAGTGCCATGTGCAATACGCTTGCATTTGAAAAGAATATCAGCATTTTAGGGAACATATGAACAAAAAAAAAGAGTAGAGTTCATATATGCATCAGAGAGGATAATAGATTACATCTGGCATGTTCGCTGAAATCCTGAATGGTCATCGACACGTAGTTTCATCAGTGTGCTCGACATATAGGGCGTGATATTCTTATAGCGCATCATGTAACGCGGTACATCTTGCGCAAGGCTGACGACTGGTGTCCTCCTCATTGCGCAACAAAACTGGTTACCAAGCTGCCACATCCTATAAAAGTATTTGTACATGACGAATATATCGTGGTAGATATGTGCCTCGTGCACCCACGACTGGGGGACTGCGGTGCATCCTGGGATGGTTTGAAACCCCTGCCAAAATGGCCTCAAACTCTAATCTGGATAATGGAGTTCGAACGTCTAAGCACTTTAAGCACTCCATGGTAGAACGTAACCGGGTTACATGGATTGCCAGGCGCTCTGCAGGCTAGTGGTATGGATCCGCAAATACCTGTAAACGTAAAAGTGTTTTTGCATTAAAGTAGCATAAGGGTTAAGTATAAATGGAGAGTTTTAAAATTATCGCAGCGGATGCAGTAAACTTACATCAGTAGCTCTAAACTGTCACAAGCTCGGCTCGAAAAGATTCAAATGTAATGGAGGAACCCGCCTCTCTCTAGATGCCCATGGTAACCATGTGGCATGTCTTCATTGTACGCCATGTTCTGATGAGGTCGGAATGCTCGGAAGTGCTGCATAAATGCACTGCCTCCAAAAGAGTCATATAACGCACCGCATCTGCTTAACCCCAGACCGGCTAGCAACCCCAACTGTCGATATAAAAATGCTACTGCAGCAGCACCCCAGGCAAAGTATGTAATGGATCCCAAATCGCATTAACAAGCCGAGGTAAACAACGGGAACCTGCCGCGAACTCTTTGTCACTGAGAGTGTACATACCGCAACAGTAAACAATAAATAAGCTCTCTTGGCGCGCACTGTATACCTCCTCGGGTCTGATTTGTGGACACCAGCAAACTCTGACTTCGCACCCATCTTCAAGCCTAGACTGATCTCGCACCAGCAGAAGAAACCTCTTCATATGCTGCGCGTTCAGTAATCCCCAAGCCATAAACGAGTAATGTAACTCCATGATGATCTGTCACATCTGGTATGCTGACTGATTTGCCTACAATGGGAAGGCCAAGAATAGTGCCAACATCATCTAGGGTCAAGGTCATCTCACCAACTGTCATGTGAAATGTGTTCGTCTCAGGTTCGCATCTCTCAACAAAACATGAGACTAGAAGCTTGTTGACGAACCGATAGGTGCAACGAGCTAACTGTGACAGTCCAGACTGCTCAATAATGGCTTTGAATCTGGTGTTGTTCTCTACTAACCACCATGGCCATGCAAGGATCTTGGAAGAGTGATTATGACACTTTATGACACTTTAGGGGCCCTCGTTCCTACAACACAAATGATATCTCATTACAAACTACCATACAACACACAAAAAAAAAAAAAAACAACTCATATACAAATGAATTTCAATTTTACTGAGGAATGTTTACCTCCCCGTGCCAAATAGCTGCAGCCACATGACTATTGAAATTCCGCAGTATTGACGGATCATTCGGTCCACCTGGAAAAACATGAGTAAGGTACTCTTCCTGGACAGGAGGAGAATCAGGTAAAGAGGTATCCTCCACAGCAATGTCAGGCATATCATAACCTTCAACTCGTCTTTGGCTTCGGCCCCCACTTTGACTGGCACTGGGAATATCATATTTTACCGAAACTGGATCACGACCTCGACCACGACCTTGACCTCGTCCTCGCCCACGCCCTCGTCCCCGTTGATGGTCTACATCCAATTCGCGACGTCGTCTATTTGAAGCAGTAGGTGGGACACGTTGTTGATATTCAGAATCCATATTATCTGCAAAAAAATACTAAGTGTGTGTAATGAGTGTGTGTGTAAATAAACATAGTGTGTGTAAAATTAATGAGAGTGTTTTAAATTATAAGTGTGTGTGTAATGAGTGTGTGTGCAAAATTAATGAGAGTGTGTGTGTAAATAATAAGTGTTTTAAATTATAATGAGAGTGTGTGTAAAATTAATAAGAGTGTGTGTAGTGAGTGTTATAATTAAGTGTTATAATTAAGTGTTTTAATTAAGTGTTAGAAGGGAAAAAAAAAAAAAAATTGTGTTCGGAAGTTGTTGTCCGAAAACATCTACTCTGTTCGGAAGTTGTTGTCCGAAAATACCTGTTCTGTTCGGAAGTTGTTGTCCGAAATTATAGCTCATATTCGGAAGTTGAAAACCGAAAAAAAAAAATTATTTTCGGCACTTGAAAGCCGAACCAAGTAAATATTTTCGGAACTATAGTGCCGAATAGAAGCAGAAATTTCGGAACTCTAATGCCGAACAAAAACAAAAATTTCGAATAACCAGTTCCGAATGAAACACGGCAATAACAATGGACTGAAAATTTCGAAAATGGTAAAAATTAACCCTACATTACAAATAAAATAGGAATGAGAAGATTCTAATCTGTGTAAACTAACCTAAAATGTGAAAATTTCAATGCTCTTCAATGTCAATACTTCAATGACACAAATGGATGGATGAAGCTTTTGGGGAGGAACGGTGGAGAGTGTGAGAGATGGGTGTGTGTGTGAGAGGGACTCTCAGATGGGTGTGTGGTGTGTGAGAGGGGTCTGTCACGGGTGTGTGTGTGTGTGAGAGGGGGTGTGTGTGTATGATTTACATTTGGGGGTATTTGTGAAATGATAGGTGTGTGTAGTGAGTCAAATATATTAGGATTTATTTTTTTAGTGGGTGTATTAAGAAAGATTTGTATAGAGAGGAAAGGGTGTGTATATAGAAGCTCCCATGAAACAGGGTTGGGCCAAGAGACCGATCACCGAACCGAACAGAAAAGCGCCGGTCTCAGTACCGGACCGGCGGTGCCCTAGTAATTATTGCTGAAGAAAAAAAGCGAAGAAGAATGTCGGTTCTGATAGTTACGAGCTTAGGAGATATTGTTGTGGACTTGCATACCGATCTCTGTCCCCTCACCACCAAGAACTTCTTGAAGCTTTGCAAGTAAGTTTAACCAAAGTGTTCTTTGATTTCTCACCTTTGTTTGGTCGCTGAGAAAACACTGGAGATTAGACAAACAATAAAAATGTTTACTACGCGTATTAGGTTGTTCAGTGGATCTTGTGTATCTGTAACCTCTCTCTGAATTGGTGTAATTCGTTGGAATTAGACACATCCAAGTTGTTGAATTTGGTTTAGGGTTTTTTGCCTTGATAATTAGTAATTAAACTGTCATATGTGTTTGTGTTCTTGATTATTTGTTTGTTTGGGTTGTATTCAATAGCTCTGATGTAGTGAAAATTTGGTATTGTTCTTGAAAGAAGTGGGATAGGTCAGTGGACTAATGGGTACTGATTAAATTTAGGCATCTCCTCAAGATGGGTTTTCTTCAATGACACATTACTACGTGATGGGTATTTTGTTTAGGGGTGTATTTGGCAGCTTCATGATTCTGGAATGCGTCTATTGTGAGCGTGTCATTTATAGTATGATCAATAAAACAAAGGATTTCATTTCTCCAACTGATAATATTATATCAGTTCTTTGATATTCAAGATAATGGCTAATTGCCTATGCGATTTATCATCATACCATCTTCTGATGAAGATGCCCTCCTTCATATTTGTGTACATATATAATTTACTGATGAATATGCATGGGCCTGGGTTTCGAATGATAGATTTGTTATTTGAAATTACGGCGACCTATTTAAGTCACATTCCAGTTTGCCAATGAGAAACTAAAATCTGGATAATGCCCTTTATTTTTTATTTCAATTAATTTTTCTTATATTAGATTGGTTGACCCACCTTATTTTTCACATGTAATGTATATTCAAGCAATCTCTAATTGAACTTAATAATGTACTATGCAACATATATTGCATGTTTTGACACACCTGGTATCATCATTATGTATAGATTAGACCAATAACATGACTCGTTCCTTTCTTGTTGTTGATGCAGGATTAAATACTACAATGGTTGTTTATTTCACACGGTTCAAAAGGATTTTACTGCACAAACTGGTGATCCTACTGGAACAGGGACTGGTGGTGATTCCATCTACAAGTAAGAGAACTGGCACATTTTAATTACTGATGTAAAATGTTTCCAACTCTATCCATGATTCCAGCACCAGCTTTCCATTATCTTTCACAATGATAGATAAGACTTGCACCATAGTGTTTATTTCCTCTAATTATGCTTTAGTTTCAGATGCATATCAAAACCTCTTCCAAACTACAATAACAGTCTTTAGAATCCTCATTGAGCTGTTCTATTAGTCTATCCAATTTAACAGTTAGATCAGTGACTGTGTAATGATGTGACATGTTGATTTGGACATCCTATACTTTCAGGTTCTTATACGGTGATCAAGCTTGCTTTTTTGGGGATGAAATTCGTTTGGAATTAAAACACGCCAAGATGGGCACTGTTGCCATGCCTAGTGCTGGAGAGGATCTTAATGCTTCACAAGTACTGCTTTTTTTTTTTCTTATAAGAATTAGAACTTCCAAAATGTTTTATTTTTTTATTTTCCCTTGTCTAATTTAGTCCCAAGTTTTATTCACTAGATGTGGATAACACTTCACATCTACCAGGGGATTCACTTCTGATACATAATATTCCCCAATTATAAAATAGTCTGTTCAACTTATTTCTCCAACTATTTTTTTTCTTGGAGTTTCTTTTGATATTTTATATACGTTTAAATTTAACTTGCGAATTGATGCAGTTGCAGTGACAAAATTTTGGACATATGACATTTATGAGATCACAAAACTCTTTTTTGTTACAGTTTTATATCGACGGGAAGCACACTGTGAGTTTCCTAATCCGGAATTCTTAATAGTTTTTGTTTTAATATTTTTCCATTAATCAAATAAAGGATGTTGTTTCCATATTTGCCTTAAAACACTTTTTTTTTTGAATGGTTGTAAAAGTTGTGACTCACTCACAACTTAAGGATGTTCTTGTATGATTTTGTTGATTTGCAATTTGACATTCTCAACTATTTTCCATGAAAAGGGTTGGGTTAATTAGATGGACACTTCCTCACGTATCATTGAACGTCACTTTACCCCTTCCAGTCCAAAACCATGCATTTTGCCCGTCAACTATAAAAACTATACAACTGTCCCTCTTCTAGAGTGGTGAAAGTGATGCAATTTTAAAGCCGAGAGGGTCCAAATGTATGGTTTTCAAATTGAGAGGGTAAAATGGTTACTCTGCGAGGTGTCTCAATAATTAACCCAAAGTTTTGTCGCTGGTTTATGTAAATTATGGTCTTCAGGAAACTTTGTAATAATTTTTACCCTTTTATCATAAAGAAATGATGAGAATGAATTGTGAGAGGTAATGCAAAGACTAATGCTTCTAAAGGTCCCCCCCTTAGAATCAAGTCAGCACTTTTGTAAAGAAAAACTTAAAACTTAGGAACACACACAAAATGCAAGCACAAGCAAGAAGTGAGATGGTTAAAACTCAAGGCAACAAGTTTCATTTCTTTGGTGTTCTTGTGGATAGAATAGAAGTACACAAAAAATTACCCGGTCTTTAAAATCAACATATCTGTACTTTATTATAAAACAAACATGCCGTTTGGTGGGTTGAAGTTCTCACACATTGTAGTATTCCCATAATAACCCACAACCACCAATTGACGTAGATTTGTGCAATAGCTATGAATTTTCATAGGCATTATAAAACAAACATGCCATTTGACGTGGGTCAGTAATGCTCGTTTTCCATTCTCCTTTGAAGGAGATCCTTGTCTCCTATGGTTTTGTGTGATAAAATTTTAAATTCTTTGATGAATTTTTTCATATTTGCAGGTTTTTGGGGAGATTGCAGAGGGGCATGAAACACTTCAGAGGATAAATGAAGCTTACGTGGATGATACAGGCAGACCATACAAAAATATACATTCTCACACCTTTTGTATTTGGTGATGTTATATGTTGACTAGTAACTAATGAATACGATGCTTTAACCGAATCAAACACACTTACATATTAGATGATCCTTTTGATGATCCTTCACAACTATCTGAGTTGATTCCAGATGCTTCTCCTGAAGGAAAGCCAAAAGATGAGGTAATGAATGACTTGCAGATTCCATTGATTTCCTGAACTTTTGAGGCAGTTTGAAACCAAATGGAAAAATAAAATTGATGCCTCACTAATTTGATCACAGAAGTTACTTACTTATATGTAATATATAACCGAATTCCCCAAAAGGATCATGAAAAACAGGAATGATATTCCTTTTGGTAAATTGCAAGGATGCTTTGTTGATTGAAATGCAAAGAGACTTACTCTATTTGATCTTAAGAATAAGAATACTAGTATCAAAAGCAAAAACCAGAATGTGATGATTTCATCTTTATTTGTGCTTATAAGCACCTTTTTCTGTTAGCTGGTTTAAAGTTGGTCAGCACTGGTTGGGGTTGTCTTAATGTCTCTTATTGAACTGTGTCTTAATTTTTAGTGTTAACATATAATAAGGTCATTTTTAGGATGGTCTGAACTGGATTTGAAGATTGAAGTTCTTTTCAAGCTTGATGTGCATGATGCCATGGTTCATTGCATGGTTTTCTCTTTCTTAAAACCAAAACATTAATTTATATGGATGGGTCTAGGCAAACAAATTATGGCAAGTAACCTTAAATGCCAACACAGACAAGATATTATGATTAGTATAATGTATATAAATTTGTGTCAAATTGGTCACTTTTACATGCTATTTCAGTAATCTATTCTGGGTTCTTTTCTATAAGGTGCCTTTTTGACATGTGTTTTCCTTCATGATCATAATCATTTATTTACGTCGTGATCAGGTTGAAAATGATGTACGACTTGAAGATGACTGGGTGCCCATTGATGAGCAATTAGGTGCATCGGAGCTTGAGGAGATTCTCTGTACGAAAGATGCACATTCCAGTGCAGTAGTGCTTGAGAGTGTAAGCATTTTATATGCTATCTCATCTAGTAATTGCAGTCCAACTTGAACATTTTCATTAAAGTCATGTTCTTATTTGCGTCACAGATAGGGGACATTCCGGATGCTGACATAAAGCCTCCTGACAATGTGCTGTTTGTTTGTAAACTAAATCCAGTAACCGAAGTGAGAGCTTGTTATCTTCTCATTTGTCACTGATTGTGGAGCCTACTGTGCTATAATCTTGAAGATGCTAATGTGTTCTGTATGCTGTTTCTTTATTGCAGTTTGTTATCATAAAATCCTGTATTCATCTGCTTTTTTAATTTGAAATGCAGGATGAGGACTTGCATACTATCTTTTCACGTTTTGGAACGGTGACATCGTAATTTCCAAATGCTTGGAATTTCTTTCTGTTTTATTTTTGTACTGCAAAATTTATTGCTCATGATAAATAAATGTTGGCAGCGCTGAAGTTATCCGGGATTATAAAACTGGAGACAGCTTATGCTATGCCTTCATTGGTGAGTGTTATTGTACTTTATTATTGTTAATATTTCCCATCCTCTCTGTTCCGTCTCTCTCTACCAGCCTTTGAACCCCTGACCTGAGGCTTGACAAGTCATACTCATGGTCAATATGCACGAGGGCAGCCAGTTTTATTAATGTTACCTTTTTATGTTTTTTCTTTAGGATTTTTAATTAATCTCCTTTTGGTGGTGCATGTGGGCTGGCAAAAATGTCAGCACATTTTGGGTTCCCTTCCGTGATGTTTTGTCTTGCTTTTGTTTTATTTCTAAGCTTGAGTTATTTAGAATACTGTGATTATCAAAATTGACTTTTAACTTATGTTGGCATGCAAGTCATTGTGAAAACAAGATTTAGACTTAAGGAAACACAACATGAACAGATGTGGAATCAGTTTGCACATCAGATGTGGTTAGTTTGGTTGGAGCATAATCGACGAGCTTTTCAATAGATTCACCATAGTGTTTCTTGGCTTGAGAGTTGCCTTCTTATAGTTTTGTATAGTTGGATGGAACGGAAGTTTGATCCTCATTTGTTTGTTTTTTTAGATTTCCTAGACGATATTCTTGGTTAGGAGTTGGTAATTATACTTCTGTAGTCTTGTTTTTGTTGCATCATCTTGATGCTCCTTCAATAAAATTATTTATTTATCAAAAAAAAGAGAAGATATTTGTGAAGTGAGCAATTACAAATGAGTATCTTTCTTTTCATTTTAATAAAATGCTTTGCAATAGCGAGCAGTTTTGCATAGGAGAAAATGGAAAACAAAATGAAAATCCAAAGAGAAAAGAGGGATTAATATATATATGTTCTGTTTTTCACTAGGGAGCATTATTTTTAAAGGCTCAGTTGCAACCTAGTTTGCTTAAACTGAAACTTGTTCCATTAGAAAGTGAATTGGGAAACCCTCCTGTTCATACTAGTTTGAATATTTTGGAGTGCTTTGGTCCATTTCAAATTACTTGGTGCGATGGTGTATTCAGCCTGTTTTCACTAGTTTCCACCCATTTGTATTTACAGGGAGATAACAAATCTAATTTGAAGTTAGAATTGTTTCCATAAAAAAATCAGAAACACCGAAAAAAGAAGAAAATGTTACTTTGTGCGCTCAAATTTCTTTACATCAGGAAATGCTGGCAGTGATTTGGAAAAAGGTTTCTCCCAAACTGTGAGCAACTTTTTCACTGCATTGGCAAAACTTAATAATCATGGATGTCAAGGTTCCTCTTTCCCCTCTCTCTCTCTCTCCCTCTCTCTCAACGGTTTTCCACATGGTCTAGATATAGGCAAACTGATGTGCTTCTGATCGTTGATTCTCTTACTGGCTTTTCCTTTTTGTTGATGTAGAATCATCATACATCTGATGATGTAACCTGACTTTTTTCCTATTCTGTTTCTGACAGAGTTTGAAACGAATGAGGCTTGTGAACAAGCATACTTTAAGGTATGCTGAACAACTGGATTGTTTTAATACCATGTTTTGAACCTGTTCTCTGCTTGCTTAACTTATCACCCTCATATGTTTATCCATGTATCTAGTCATGCAGGTTCTATTATATCATTCTTGCATGCTATGAGTAATAATGAATCTACAATGACAGTTAATTGCCATAGCAAGCAGTCTTAGGGTTTTACTTGATAAAAGGAGAGTGCTGCATTCTTGTTTCAAGCATGCAGCTATGTTCTTAATTCTAGTTTGTAATAATAGCTAATCTGTTGAATTGCTTTGGCCAAGTGGTGGCAGAACTGGCTTTGTTCACCTTGATTTATTCAATTTTTATGACAGATGGACAATGCTTTAATTGATGATCGAAGGATACATGTGGATTTTAGTCAAAGTGTTTCAAAATTGTGGTCCCAATACAGACGCAGAGATAGCCAAATGGCTAAAGGTAAGATGCTACTATATTCAATCAGTGAATGGATGTACTGGGGCATGGATTGTCGTGTTGGAGTAATTTCTATAGTTTCTTGGATCAGCAGCTTAGCATTATTTGTTTCCACATAGAGCATCATGCAGGTTTTTGACTACCTGGTGTGTAGTAGTTAGCCACTAATTTTTCCTCATCATAATGTTTCTGCACCTAAGCATTACATGTTTCAAAAAGTATATTATTTCTATCTGTTGCTTTGATTTTGAGTTGTGAGGTTTGTATTTGGTTTTTGGTTTTTGATGTCTGTAAACCCAAGGTTTGTGTGGGATTCATCTTCTGTTAGTTTAACACTTCTCTGCTGTTCTCTTATAAAGTTTATAGTATGGTACCCAACCTATGGTTGTGTTTCCATTGCAGCCGAGTTACTTATGATAGTTCATGTTGAAAAGTGCTTGTTCACTGAGGCAACTAACTAGATTTGATAGGTTTGTCGAGGCAAATGTGATACTTCACTCTCAGGAGCCCAGAAGTTCATCTGTGTTCTTTGTTCCTTCTTCACGGGCATAGTTTCATTCTTGCTTCACAGCTTGTATCTTGTATATGGAACTCCAATACCCCAATTCCGTTTTATCCCTGGAACTTTTCTTAATCCAGGGAAGCATTTGACTATTTGTAAACATTTTGGTGCAGGAAAAGGTTGTTTCAAATGTGGTGCTCCAGATCACATCGCTAAGGATTGTACAGGGGATCCCTCCACCAAACAGCAACCTCCAAAATACACGTTAAAAGAGGATAACAATCAACGAGGTGGAGACGATAACTCGAGGTTAGTAATTTTGTTTGTGGTTATGAATATCTCTCTCTCTCTCTCTCTACATTTTTTTGCCGTCAGTGATAATTTTATTGAAACAAGAAAAAGCATACACAACTCAAAAGGGGCGTACCACTTAACAACCAAACCAACCAACAGACTTATCTCCTACCATACTTGCAGAAACAGAAATCAAAAGATGACTCTCTTTCTCATACATTGAAATACAAATTTTCAGGTATGAGATGGTATTTGATGAGGACACGGCTAGAAGTCCACAACGAGAAAAGAAACGTAGAGACTACGAAATAGAAGACAACATTGAGAAACGAAAGGATGAACGCCGAAGTTCAGAGGATCTTAAGCAAAGGGAATATGAGAACTCCCGTGACAGGCAAAGGCACAGTGACAGAATTAGAGAATACAGGGATCATGAGAGGAACCGCGAAAGTAGAACTAGTCAGTCCAGTGGAAGCCAGAGGGACTACAAGTATCATGAAGAGAGAAGAGATGGAGAAAAGTATACGGAGAAACGTGGGCATAAAGATGACAGCCGGAGAGATGACCGGGAATATAAGAAGCGAAATGAGGATGAGCGAGAGTATAGAAAAAGAAGTGTGGACAATGATAGCCGCGGAAGCGGGAGGGATGATGAAGGTCATAAAAGGTTAAATGTTGATAATCATAGAAGAGACAAAAGAGATGAGTTGAACAGGCTGGGTGATCGTGATCGCGATCGCGATCGTCATAGAAGGCACTGAGGTGATGGAATGAGATGACCACCTTTCATATGATGGATGGTACGTGATTGAAATCGGAAAATGTTTGAGATGATCACAATATATTCTCACACCATAATGACTTTATCATTCTTGATTTGATATCAGCTAAATGTATTGACTATGGTTCTGGGCATTTTGGCTGCAATATTTTTAATTTCAGGAGGAAGCAGAAAAGTCTGCCCTGGAAAGAATTCAGCAGGCACTAATGGATGGAAAACCAGCACGATCAGTACCTTCAACAGATTTTGAGAAAGATGCTGTAAAACATCTTTGTTTACTTACAGTGAAGCCTATCATATATGTAGCGAATGTGGCAGAATCTGATCTAGCAGCGCCCGAAGATAATCCTCATGTCGAAGAAGTGATGAATCTTGCGTCGGAGTTACAATCTGGACTAGTAACAATCTCAGCACAGGTTTGGTGACCTTTCAGCAGAAGCTTTTTCAATCTGAATTTGGGGGTAGTATATTTACTCCAGAATGTGAGGGGCAGGGCGTTAACTTGCCATATTCAACTGCAACGTTTTTTTTTTTTTAAATTTTTTCCCATTAGTCTGTTTAGTTGTTCATTGATCTATCTATTACTGTTTTTGACTGTAGTGTTCGTTTGTTCTTCATTCCACCAGGCAACTAAATATGCCGTTTGTCATTGCAGGTTGAGTCACAGCTTACTGAACTTCCATTGGAAGAAAGAACAGAATATTTGGAGTCTCTTGGTGTTGATGAAAGTGGCCTTGGAAATCTCATTAGAACAACATATGGCCTTTTAGGACTGCGTACATACTTCACATCTGGTGAGAAGGTGAAGTCCAGAAACGCTTTTTCTTATTTAGTTAACATGATGTTTCTTTGATACTCAGTACTTATGGATTGTTTTGTTGTGTCTACAGGAAACAAAGGCATGGACCATACTTGCAGGTTAGTATTGGTTCTTCATTTTAAATGAGTTTACTTTAGCTGGTATTGTAGCTAGATTTCCTTGAAGTTAGTATCAGATGCATGCAGCATTTTTTGTTAAATAGTATCAGAAGGAGATTGAACAACGGTTTGTTGACATAATTTATCTTTAGATGGATTTAACAATGTGAAGTATCCCTCTTGCAGACCGTATCAATTATCTTGAGTATAAATTGTTAGTCTAATTAATATTCTTTATTGAGTTAGGAATGACTGCCCCTCAAGCTGCTGGAGTTATTCATTCTGACTTTGAGAAGGGTTTCATCCGAGCAGAGACGGTAAGCATGAGAAATATTGAATTCTTTTCTGTGCACTACTCTGGTTCTTGTTTGTATGGAACAAACGTGGAAATGACTTTAACAGCACACCCCCTTGGATTATGTTGTTCAGACATGTGCCTTGGCCATTTTTATTTGGTTATCTATCTTACTGTCATGCATGTTGCCTCTATATCTGGTCAACCACACAATAATTATGTGATGGATTTGCTTATCAGGTTGCTTACAATGATTTTGTTGCCGCTGGTTCATTTGCGGCTGCAAGGGAGAAAGGGCTTGTAAGTCGTTGCCTAATGCTGCTGAATAAAGTTGAAAATTCAATCGGCATAACTTTAATGCTGCTTCTCTTCGTTTTAGAAAAGTTCACAAGATTTTATGCTGTACTCTTTGTAGTTATTTTTAAAATACCTGAAACTTCACTGGTCCTGAGGTGGCTGTACATCTGGGCTGTATCACCTTTCCGAAAATCACATTCATATGCCAGCAGCACACTACTATTTATCTGGGAGAAGTTTATCCAGATAAACAGAAGAGAATGAAAAATCAAGGATAGTTTGAATTGACATTTTGTAAAATCCATGCTACCATGTAATTCAGTAATACACACATGTACACTATGCTCTCACATGCATAAAGTGGCTCAGCCACCACCAACACCACCTAGGACTCTCTTGCAAGATCAAGGTGATTTACAATAACTATTTGGATCATGCAGTTGAGATCAGAGGGAAAAGAGTAATATTGCCTACAAGAAGGGGATGTGATGCTGTTTCGTTTCAATGTCTGATCAGAACATTGGGGAATGCTGGAACTTGTTATTTGCCAATCATGCTAAGCTGTATTTTGAGATGCATAGCCCAATTCATTTGAAGGTCATGGGGATTTTCAGAAGTGGAGATTGTCTTAAATTTGATAGCCAGTGCTTACTTCATTGAGTTTACATAATCTCAAATTGTTTTAAGGTGAAGAAGTCATAAGTATTGCTTGTAGAGAACTTAATTGGTTCATTTATCTTGTCAGTTAATATTAAATATTAAAAAAATTTACAGAAAAGGGAACGACCGTCTAATTGAACACGTGATTTAGTATCTCTCATTGTGTATCAATTTTTTTCGTGTTTAAATTCTAAATTACCTTAAATACATTTTGCAGAAGGTTATTTTGATGTGGGATTTTAGAGCCTCTTATTTCTACTGTTCCTAGTCTTCATTTCCTTCTTGTTGACTCACCATTTTTATCATCTAATCTGTTCAAATCCGCTCACCTTTTCAAACTGCCCAAGTTGATTGAATGAGTTGGAGAGTTTGAGTCAGTGCAAGTTGATGAGTAGACAGTTTTTGCACCTGTAGCTTCAACATTGCAAAAATCAACTAAAGATTGGTGCAGGGTTGAAGGTGAGGTGTCCTAATCAGTAATTGATGGCATCATTTGTGTTGATTTTGCTTTCCCAAATGACTGAAGAGAAAGGATAGGATGGGTGGGGTTATCTTTCTCTATTCTTTTTGTTCTTAATAAATAATTTTCTTTGGTTGATTGATGGTTGATGCTTTTGCTTCAAGCAAGCACTATTGTTTGCTGTTTTCACTGTGAAGCTAGCTGGAAAACAAGTTTCATTATGTTCCCATATTAATTTAAGCTACTCTTC